CATGTACTGTGATCAGCCTCTCATGTTAACAGGAACAGTTCTGGTGTTTTCAAGTGAACATTTATGTGATCTCAGTCCTACATTTGAAAAACTGATTTGTTTAGAGCCATAGAGGTGGAGATCCTGGACAACTTGAGGGTCACCACCCAAGAGTTAAGAATCTGTGCTTTAGTTCATCATTAAAGTTCCTCGTTTCTTTCTGCATCCTGGGGTCAACTCTCCAACCAACTGTGACTCTCAGCTACTACCACACCACATTTTAGCTCACTATCTGGAAAAACTCCCTGTTACAGATGCTTTGGTACAGGCTAAGGTTGATAATCTGTGGTGGCCATCTTGAATCTGGTTAACAACCACAGTTCATCAGTTCTACATGTTCATCTAATGATGACTTTCTTTATGTCTTTCTTTCTTTGTTTTCTTAATGAGTTTATTAAAATATATTATGTGATTTTATGAGATATTTTGCTAACAAACAAACTGCACGCAGACAAAGCAGAAACAGGTAAAAACATGATAGCTCTTCCTTCTCCTTCATCACTGAGACAACTGTTTCATGTTGAATACAGTAAAAGTGATTTAAAAGTTAAAACAAGCAGCAAACATGTTTTTGTTCTAAAAAGGTTTTTAGACGTTTGGAAAGAGAAACTTCAAAACAGACGTGTTCAAGTTGAACTTTTGAAATGAATGAAACATTTATAAGTGAATAAATTGTGAAGCATCAGGGAATGATTTTAGTTGGACAAACATAGAAAACCTCCAACAGCTGCAGTGAACTGACCTCAGAACCTCCAGTCTACAGTTTGGACTCTCCAGGAAACCACAGAGCTCCTTCACTCCAGAGTCAGACAACTGGTTCCAGCTCAGGTCCAGTTGTGTCAGATGGGAGGGGTTGGACTTCAGAGCTGAGACCAGAGAAGAATAGCTGATCTCTGACAAATTGCAGTTCTTCAGTCTGAATAAAGAATAAAAGATGTGAGCTGAAGCCAACAGGATGCAGG